TGGCCAAGCATGCCGCCGGTCAACTGACTTTCCACGATACTCTGCCGATCCAAGGCCACGACAAGCGCGAAGTCATCGGCTGGCTGCACATGGCCACCGGCCAACTCACCAAGTCCCTCAACGAAGACGCCGTGATGTCGTCCCTCCTCCATGACAACCAATCCACCGTCGACGGCGCCATCCTCATGGACGTGATCAAGTGCGAGCGCGACCTGAAGAACCGCGTTGTGCGCTGGGGCGCATCCAGAACGGCTTGTACAAGCATGGCGATTCAACAAGTGCGTACGCCTGGCTCAATCTCGTGATCATGGAGAACAAGTGGGCTACTTTTCCTGGCTCTCGGTTGCACAACGTTTTCATGTGGAGCAGCATGAGGGGGCCCATTACCTCAGACAAAGAAGAATGCCTTGGAAACATCAAGAAACTCCAAGTCATGAGTGGGAACGACATGAAGATGTCCCAATTCGAGAGCATTTACCGAACCGCGTGTCGTATGTGGTTTCTGTCGCTGGACAAGCCATTGGCCAGCCAATTGTTCGACCCGTTCCAGAAAAAGCGGGACCTAGCATTCGAGGGGTGGGGAAAGTGTTTCGAAGTATTGCAGAACTACTTCCAGTTCTTTTCACACTGCTGCTTGTGGAGCAACGAGGAGGTTCACAAGATGCTCGTAAAGATGCTTCAAGTGTTCCTCCTTGTACCCAACGGGTTTCAGCCCGAGCCCTTGGACCCCGAGAAGCTGTCTACGACCGCGTCACAGAAGTACATTCTTCTGAAAGAACGTGGTTGGAGTTTCGTATACATGCTTAGTACACGCAAGGCCGCTTTTCCTACGACATTACGCGACGCGTACGAAGTAAATGCTCAACATCTGGTTGGGTATCTTAACACCAACGATGTCAACACAATCAAGATCGCGAACGATGAGCGCTTTATCCGCGCGCAGAAGGCGAAGAACAAGAACGAAGCAGAGAAGATCAAGCGACTTCGAGAGCAAATTGCTAAAGCTGAAGCGCTCGAGGCAAAAAAACGCAAAGACGACGAAGAGAAGGAGCGGCAACGCAAGATTGATGAAGAGGCGCATGCCCTTCAGGCGTTGGATGAGGAGAACCGTTTGCGCCAAGAAAGTGAAGCGCAGCGTGAGAAGAAGCGGAAGCGTGACGCTATTCTCTCCAAAGAAGCTCGTCAAGAACTTGGCGATGATCAACCGCGAAAGTTCAGGCGCTTACGTCGGGCCAGATCGAAAGGTATGAATTGACTGTCCTGATTGATGTATAAATGATTTTAGGAAAAAAGCGAAAGTCGTCGAAGTCGAAGGATGACAAGATTCGTATTATGGAGTGTGACTGCACTGGTCCTCCAAGCGAGTTCTTAGAGAAGCTCCAAGGATCGGTCATTGACTTGACTGGTGAAGACGACGTACTTCAAATTGAAGTTAGCGCGGCCACATTCCAACGTTTCTCGACTATGAACATCCCCAACGTGGCGGTTCACGGCAATGTGACTCTTGTGTGTCACAAGCCAAACGAGTTTTTCGAAGCCTTCAAGTCCAAGGCGATAACGATTTCTGGAAGCGACAAAGAGCCCAGCGAGGAAGAAAAAGAAGACTTTGATCAAGACAATGAAGATGATAGTGACGATGACGACAATGACGACGAAGATGATTTCAGTAGCATAGTGTGAGGTGACATTAAGTGTTTGGATTACGGGGTTTCGGGGTTTCGGG